AACAACTCACTATTTTTTTATCTGACCTAGGTGAAAGGGGTCAGCCTGCAACCTGTCCCAAGGTGAAGGGAAGGTGAGCCAAATTTTCACCCTATCGCATGTATGTTTCAAAATAAGTTATACTGAAAAGGGAATATAATTTTTGTAAGCGATGTGTGATTTGACGTTAACAACATTGGAAATGTTCGCCCTTTATCATCTATCTTATAAAAACATAGAGGTTAGCTTTAAGCGCACCCTTTGTGGAAGGAGTTGGCAACTTTTTTACCTCTAGCGCAGCGACCACGATATTACTATGCTACTCATTCTAATATAACTGAAAAGAGCCCACTATGGAAATTAGGGAGGAAGTAATTTTTATAATTTTTAATCTTGAACATAAACTCATGAAATAGGGAAGACAACGACACAGCATCTCTAAAGTATGTACTAGAATAGTACTCAGCGCTATATCTAATTTGGATATACCTAATACAGAATCTCTATGTTTGTCTTCGCGTACTAATCTTTCACGAATTGAGTATGTAATCTTGAAGAAGCGAGAACAAAAGCTTGTCGAATTTACAACTCTGGTACAAATCTTTTAATCCTATTTTTAGCACAGGGTAAAACTAGATCGGCTGCAGAGTTTCTTCGATTTTGCTTATCCATAAAATAGCTTTTTTCTCCGTGTTTCAGACCAATTGAGAGGGCATGTGGAAAATTTGATCGAGCCTACTTGAACGAATAAATTTGATGATTAAATAGCTCAAAAAAGATATGCTTATGTTTTTTTTTTGAATCTCATAATCGAGCAATGGTAATCGTAAAGGGCTAACGGCACAAACATTTAAAACAATTCAGAAAAACAACAAATGAATCTCAAAATAATTGTCAAAAATTTAGCAAGTCAAGCTACAGAAGGTGGAATAGGGGGCAGGAGTTCTGCGTCTTAACGTCAAGTTACCAAGGCCATGCTTACGCTTTGATGTTGATGTTACAGCTGGGAAGTGGGAATTAATTCATAAATTTTTCCTAAAAATGAAACACGCTGGTTTTTCGCATGTCCAGAGGTGTTCTTTGATTAGCATTATAGAAATTTGCCAATAAAAAATGAGCTTGACTATTGACGACCGTCACGCGTAAATTACGATATATTACTAAGTCTCATTTCTTCTGTGGTTTAAATCTATGCTTGGTCATTTTCGAGTTAGTATGAGACAATTTGAGTTGTTTTGCTCAAATGGTTGTTTAACTTCTGTATGTAGAAGTAGTTGCATGTTAGGTTTCAGGATTTAATCGTAGTTATTTAGAGTAGTCCCCATGAATATTAGACAAATTCTGACTGTGAAATACAGATTGAAAAATTTAAAAATAATTCCTCTACAAATTTTCACATAATTCATTGCAACAACAGAGAAACAAATACCAGTGAAAGTGAGATATGCCAAATTCAAGAAAAAACGTAGCATTGAGATTTCAAAAAGAATCACTAACAAATGAAAGAATTAGTATATTTGGCGAGAGCACATCCGATGCGAGGTCACTGAGTAAGGCAAGTATCTGCTGTTTTTCTCAATCATATCAAAGAATTCTTTGACATACGTGAGCTTAGCTCGTTCACCTTGTCAAGATATTCGAAGTAAGTTGTAGATCAAAGTGGTGACAATAAGAACAAGATATATGGAAGAAGTCTTCGCTGAAGCTGTAGTGTCGTCTCTGTTGCAGTTGTCCGTTTCACATGCACACAACACCTCTTCATACTCGTTGTGCATCCATTTTCTTGAGCAACCGATCTGTATCTGAAATCAAGAAAAGTACAGCTTTCAGGGTATCCATACATCCAGTATTTTATAAAGTTTCAAATTTACCTGTGAAATTTATTGTAGGTTTGTTGGTCTAACAAGTGTGGTTCATTCACCAGCATTGATCATTACTATCGAAACATATTAAAGCTCTACATATTATAATTGTTTTTCAAATGTATTTCATTTAGTTTTTCTTACATTCGTCTTTAAGAACAAAGAACAAGTTCATTTCATCTCGTTTTCATCTCCTAGACACTTTTTGGAATTACAGCAGTATCAAAACCTAGTATCCACTTTCCACTTCTCCCAATCCCCCCCTTGCCGAATCCTGAAAAAGTTTAGTCTTCCAAAAAATGAATTTACTGAGTTGTGGTTCGTGCTCTTTTTTTTCATAGTCAAAACGCTTTGAAATCTGAAGAAAGCGTAGTTTATATCATGCAGAAGTAGATGTCTTCTACAAAACAGTTATCTTGTCTCTTCTGTCGGTTTTTTAAAACTAGAAATGATTGATTCTATTTACAGAGAACCATAAAAACTTTAACCGACGTATAATTACTCTGAGTTGTGAGAACAATTCGCAATTGATACTCAGTGAAATTGGTTATGAAGATCACGAAAATCACAGCCTCGGTACGACTTTACTGTGGTGTTATGGTAGGCGTATACTGCAGGATCAAAATTACTGATTTATCTGAAAATTGGTTTCCCTATGGTGACATTTTGCACGGTAGACGTAAAGCTATTATATTCTCCTTTTCCAGTAGAGCAGTGATCTCGACGCTACCATTGTATTCATCCAAATTCTGCAGTAGAGGCTTATTATACGAACTGGGCAAAAATGTTTGTAATGAATATGTCGGATAACTCTACTAGACCACTATTCAGTAAAACCGTGATTTTGATCGTTAATTGTTATTAAATTATGTTTTATTACTTGATTTCAGTATGTCGTAACGTAATCCTGGAGGGTCCTCTGGGGAATGTTATAATTTTTGTAATAAGCACAGTCGATTGACAAATTTGCATCCTAGCAATTTTCAAACTCCTTGCATTCCGAAAAAATCAAACCACAAAATTGGTCTTCTGAGAATACATAGCTAGGATGTGTAGCTAGGATGCCACAGAAGAATTCTTAACTAAGCAAGTGGCGATACTTGTTTGATGAGTTGCATACGATTCTTAAGAACAAGATAATGATATTTTCTCTTAGCGCCTTTGTAAAAATAAGTTATATGGCAAATTTGTGTTGGAGCCTTTTTCTATCTTGGTGACTGCAGTGTTCTCGTTCCATTAATGCACGTTATAGGAGCAAAAGCATATTCAGCGCTAAGTTAATAGTATGTGGTTTTAGCACAAATTTTCACTGCGCAGGTTTTAGGTGATTATTGCCCTCTTGTATTATCGTTTAAAAAATCCTGCCAGGATGAATCCTTTGGAATAATTGAAGTTCACTGAGCAGTACTTTTGTGCTAAATTAAATAAAAAAATTG